ATTCTCTATAGTTAGCTTTTGATACCAGAATGTTCCTAGGTTCCATTGAGCACTGTTCCATTCAGTGTAATGCTACTAACACAGCTCAAGAAAGCACACAGAAACCAGCGCCTAAAAAATAACCATGAGTGTGGGTATATCTTGGCTTTAGGATAAGGACCCTCACAGACTGACAAACTGCAGATTGCAATTCAAGATCCTTCCTATAACCTATCTTACCTCACACCCACTATGCCCTTAATGCAGCCAGAACTACCTGCTATTACTAAAATATATGTCGTGACATCTCACTTCTAAGATTTTGCCCATATTGTTTACACTACCTAGAATATCCTTCATTCTCACTACTTTTTTTTTTTTTTTAAAGCCCATTTATTCTACAAGGACCAGCTCCAATAGTACCTCATCTGCAAAGCCTTCTCAGATCCCTGTCACATTTCCTGCTTTTGGCTTACTCTCTCTTCTGCCAATATATTTACTAACTGACTACTTACAGTGCTATTGGGTCTGCTCCATTACTATGCTAGTCATAACAGGGAAAGGAGATCTATCAAAACTCAGACGTATTCCCCTTGAGGAACAGAATTAAGTAATGCTTCCAATCACACGTGGTATCTAGCACATGAAGGACCAGTCATAGTCATCTGGATAGCCCCACTGCACCATACCTCTTAACCTCCATATTGGCCCAATCCATAGTCCCAAACTCCTGCTGTGAGGCCCATTCTGTAATCTATCTTGTTGCCTTTCCTAGCACCCCTGTCTCCCTCAAAGAACTGGGGCCTTCTCCCAAACTCCCAAGCTCATTTGGCTTGGGTTCTGAAGTAAATACTGCAGCCCTCTTCCTGATCCCCACACTTGTCATCACTGGTAGTAGTGATGCCGTGAATGCCTCCATCTCCTGCAATCACAACATAACTCTGTCAGACTCGGAATTCTTGCCCACTGCCTAAACTCTCTCCATGCTATTTTATAAGCACTAGACTGGACCACTCTATATCAACGTTTGCCTGGATGACATCTGTGCCCACCAAAACACATACGAATACCCTAGAAGTCCTTGCCACAGCTAGTCTCTGGAATCAGACAAGTTCTCCCAGGCCACGTCCTTCATTCTCAACTCACTCTTCCCTCCTCTCTGTCCATTTTTACACTTGGCTCACCATTTCTCAAGCAGCATAATAATGGCTGTGGGGAATTCATCTGGTCACTATAATTTCTCTGTACATCTGTTGAACAATCCCTAATAGGGACCGGAGACTCATCCACTTTCCTCCACGAAAGTTTAACATGTTGAGAATGAGTAGAGCATAGGGAAAGACGGTTACACAGGGTGCTAAAAGATGCTGTCCTCGGGGCTGGCCTGGTGGCGTAGTGGTTAAGTTTGCGTACTCTGCTTCAGCGGCCTGGGCTTTGCAGGTTCGGATCCCAGGCGTGGACCTAGACACTGCTCATCAAGCCATGCTGTGGTGGCAACCCACATACAAAGTGGAAGAAGACTGGCACAGATGTTAGCTCAGGGTCAATCTTCCTCAAGCAAAAATAAAAAAGAAGCTGTCCTCCCAGGAGGGGAGAGGCCTGCTACTCCACCACCACATGTGGCAATGACCAGAGTAAGAAAAAAGAAAAAGAAGGCAGCTGCCAGAAAAATAAAAGGTCTCCTTCCCCAACTTCTTTCACAGGAACTGTTCCTTTGCGCTGCATTACGAACACTGCAGCACATTCACCTCTTTGGCCCTCACAGTCTTAGTCTTATTTTCTAAGCACCATATTGAGCACTTAAATCTGGCAAAATGGTTGCTATAAACAGTAGACTAATATAGCTTTATAGGTAGTATTGTAGCAAATATCTTCTTGGTAATAGCAACATTCTAATTCACCTGGAGCTTACAAAAAGGAGAGGAAAAAGTAGTTTCTCACTCCAAATTAAATCTCAAAGGCTATTTATTGATTGTATGACTTTTAAAAATATATACTATTACAAAAATTTCAAACATATACAAAAGTAGTGAGGAAAGTTAATGAAGCCACACATACCTTTCATCCAATTTAAACAATTGTCAACTGATTCACAGTCTTGCTTCATCTCTGTCCTGCCCCATCCTTTTATCCACCACCAGAGTTATTGTGAAGTTAATCCCAGACAATCATTTCATACATAAGGATTTCAACTCATCTCTCTTAATAAGATTTTTAAAAAAATATAACCACAATATCACTAAACCTCTAAAATGATTAATTCTTTAATATCATTAAATATACCATTTTCAAATGTCCCCAAATGTTTTATTGGCTTGAATCATAATCAAAATATGGTCCGAACATTGGAATTGGTCTCTTAATCTCTTTCAAGCTATAGGTTCCCCTCCCTCCTTCCTTTGCCCACCCCCTCCTGCCCCTTGAAATTGATTTGTTGAAGGAACTGGCCTGTGGAATTCCTCACAGTCTGAGTTTTGCTCATATACTCCTCATGGTGTCATTGAGTTCATCCCTCTTTCCCTGGTATTTCCTGGAAAATGGTAGGTAGAGCTACAGGCTTGATCATATCCAGTTCTGGCAAGACAACTTCGTATCTGGCGTCTGGGTGTACTAACATCAGGAAGCATGTAATATCTGGTTTTCTCTCTTTTTGTGTTATTAGCAGCCACTGATAATCACTGGTTATATCCTTCACTTCATTAGAAGATGCAAAATGGTGATACAGTAACATTCTATCACTCCTCTATCTTTTAAGAGTTGGGATATGCTAACAATGAGAAACTTATTCTCATCAACTATTGGTTATCCTGAGCTACAGTTAAGATTGGAAAGGCAGGGAAAAAAAACTTGAGTCTTTCCACTGATTACCAGTTTTCAAAATGAGTTAATTTACTAGCATCCTTCAAAGAAGAACAATAATTAGTAGTTTTTTTCTTTAGTATTATTGTGAACTTTGGATTCGAATACATTTCATGTGTTTCAATACACTGCACTCATTCTCCTTACTGACCATCAGGTTGCCCCATCTTTAGCTCCTGAGTCCTTTAGGATGTCCTCGGGAGTTCTCATAGCCTCTTCGCCTTCTAAATTGACAAGATGTTCCAAGCTCATCTTGTACCTACATTTCCTGCCCAGAACTGGAAGCAGCTATTTTCCAAGGATCTTTAGTTCACTTTAGTGGGAGTTGGCATTTACAGACTACAGTCTGGTTGCTAGGGGTGCTCACTGCTACTGGGCTGGTCCTTTTTCCAGGCTCTGCTAGCAAAAGAGCTGGAAAATTCATCATCACAAGATCGCTCCTTGACTTTAGCTATCTTTTAACTGTCTCTCCTTTAAACCACACCAAAAGTCTGGGTTCCCTGTGATATCATCTTAATCACTATATTTTCTTTATCCCATTAAATACACACAAAAGCCTTAGAATAACAATACCAACATAACCACTTTACGATTACACTAAACAGTTTAGGATTTTTTTTTTTTGAGATGTCTTTGTCCTTCAGTTATTATCTATTAGGGATACATGGTCAAGTTTACTGAGATTTGAAATAATCCCTCTCTGTATGGTTACATCAGCCACTCAATATATAATTAGATTCATCTGTTTCATTTTGTTTCCACTTTTGGGGATCTTTTAAATTTTAATTTTGTTTTAAAATTATTCAAAATATGTATATGGTTCCAAAGTTAAAGAAACGAAACAAGATATATTCAGAGAAGTTTAGCTTCCACTTTCTCCACCACACTGTTCCCTCCAGTGGTTACTCTCTAGGTAACCATTTGTTGTTCAATTTTCGTTTTATCCTTTCTTTTTAATTTTTCAAATACTAGTACTCCCATCCCTTTCTTCAATGAATGATACATACTATACCTACTTGTCTCCACTCTGCTATTTTCCCTGAAGATCACTCTACAGTAGTATAAACAGATACTCTTCATTTCGTTTTATATTGTGGATGCAGCATAAGTTATTCAGCAAATCCGGTATTGATCAACATTTGGGTTGTTTCCACCTTTTGCTATTATTTGCTGTATCTAACCATTTGTTCATGTATCTTGACTATTTTCCTACTGAGTTGACAGTTTTCGTATTCTCCAGTTTTGGGGGATATTAACCCTTTGTGATAAAAATTGCAAATACCCTTTCTAATTTGTCACTTCTTTTTTTACTTCACTTATTGTGTTTTCAGCTATACTAAAGTTATTATTTTTATCATCAAATTTATCAATATACCCTTACTGCATCTGGATTTTCAGTTGTAGTTAGGGTGTTTATTCCACTTCCAAGTTCAGAGGAATTCACCAATTTTTTTCATAGTACTTGGATGGTTTCATTTTTGTACATGTCTGATTCATTTGTAATTTTTCCTTGGCAGAGTACAAAGAATAAATATGAGATCACCTTCCTTCATTAGACACTAAACACCCATGCGCAGCTGAGTCTACTTCCTCATTTTCTATTTGGTTCTATTAGTCTGTCTTTTTAAGCACCAATACTACACTTTTAATTATGGGGGCTTAACAATATGTTTCGATATCTAGTAGGGCTATAACCTTCCTCCACTGCTCTTCTTTTGAGAGCCTTCCTTATTACTCTTATTTGTTCTTTCCAATGAAATTTATAATCAACTTGCCTAGCCCAGGAAAAACACACATACACACACACACACACACACACACACACACACACACGACAAACACACAGAATCATCATAAAGTTATAAATTAACTTAAGGGGATCAACAAATTTATGATGTTGAAACTAAAAGCTAAGTATGAGGAGTAAAACTTAGAAAAAAGCCTTAAAATATTTTACCAATCTCCGCTTGTGAAAAGATAGGGGTTAAACCCAGAAAATCTTTGCTACATTACCATGGGAAAATTTTATTTAAACAAACTTAGATTAACTATTAAACGAATCCAATTTATCTCATATATATCACGTACTATGTAATACAACTCATTAGAAAAAAACCAAAATGGTCAAAATAACACAAAGCATCAGTAATATACTTGCTCACCTTCCTTTTTCAGCCATTTCACAATGTTCCCTTCCTCCATTGTAGGAGACAGTGATGGCATTAGTATCTTAATAGGATCAGCTGGAAGTAAAAAAAAGGAAAGATTAGCCACAACAAAATAATGTACTTCCTGAGGCATCAATCAAAAGTTCAAGTAAATTAATATCAAATTCAATTTGAAAAAGAAAATATTCTGAAGTCTAAAAGACTTCCAACCGATCAAACTAAGCGTCCAGTAAACAGTATGGAAACATAAAATTCTCAACTTTTTAAAAATAACACTCTGGAATACTTTCAACTCCTAGTCCTCTATGCTTTTTTGCTTTTTTTTTTTTTTTTTGCTGAGGAAGACTAGCCCTGAGCTAACATTTGTTACCAATCTTCCTCTATTTTGTATGCGGGTTGCTACTTCGGTCTGCGCTGGGGAACCGAACCTACAAACCCAGTCTGCTGAAGCAGAGCGCACCAACCTTAACCAGTAGGCCATGGGGCCAGCCCTCCTCTATGCATACTTTTAAGCTAGGTGCTTAAAAGATTAAAAACAAAAATTTTGACTTATGTTTCATCTTCTTCCCCTTTTGTTGCTGAAAAAAATATTTACAAGTAAAATGACCAGAGGAAAAGATAAATAAGAAAATAATAATAAAAAAAACTAGGGTTCTGACAACTTAAAACAAAATAATCAAATCAGACTTTAAGAAATTGGCTGCATTTTCATTTTCCTCTGATATTATACTCTTCAAGAATGAAAGGTTCTTACTGATAAGTGTGAATGAAAGGAAAAGTTTGTCTTGTCAAGGATGATTAACCTAAGTAGTTAATCTCAAATAATGTTCCATTCCACAACTCACCGGGGACCCACAAAGGCAGACTCAAACCAGGACAGCCTCTCAATGACACACAGCTGCTTTCCCTAGGTATCCACAAAGGAGACACTCCCGCTATTTGGCCAGATGGGGTTCCCAGTAGTCATCTGCTGCCCAAGACCATAACAAACAGCACACAGCTGTTAGATGACAAACTTATGTGAAGTTTGTACTAATAAAATAGTTAACAGCATGCGCCAGCTCTTAGCAGTAGCCATGGTAACAAATTACCTTCCCTGAAATCTTCCACTGAACCTAGTCTCTCCTCAGATTATTCAATTCTGTGACGCCAAAAAGCAAAACAATGCACCATATCTAACATATTTCAAATGTGGAAGAGGGTAGAATGGGGCTTCTTTTTTTTTCCATTGACGCTTTAGGGTTAAAAGGAAGGGAACTGAATACTAATGTTAAATGAGGTTAAGTATTTCCTTTGGGAAACTGAACTAATTTTACTGTCATTTCAAATGGAGAGTTCCTATGGCTTTACGGTAAAGGAGTTTCATCTCGGAAGTATTTCGAAGGAAGCTTCTGTCCCCTCTCCCCTTTTCCTTCTCTCCTCTCTAAAGAACTGGGAAATGGACCCAAGCATACATACCTGCCTTTCAGCCTTTTCCTCATTTTGTTTTAAGACTTGCCTGCCAATAGGGAACCTGCATTTTCCTTGCAGCTCTTCTATGTGCTAGGCCTAAATGCACCTGCCTTTCAAAGGCAGACAGCAAGCCCACCTCTCTCTGTCGCCATCAGGGCCCAGTGGGCGTGAGGAAGCAATTCAGGTCTGTGTGTTTGTTTTGTATATACAAACTTTCCCTCTCAAACAAAAGCCCAAAGTGTAAATATAGGGTTGTACTGGGAAGTCCAACTGTACAAGGCCACAGATCTAAGTCGCATTTTCCAATCCAACAAAACCGTCAGCATCAAGACTGTTACTTTGATCTCCATCTGTCTGACTTTTTTGCCTCTGTCTCAATCGGTACCAAACTCCAAGAAGAGTAGAAAAGTAGACTTATCAATCCTAATACCCCAAAAATGATAGAGCCCAAACCAATTTCATCAATGAGAAAACTACAATCCATTGATTAAAGGATTTGAATTCTGTCTGCCTAACTCTCAAGGCTGTACTCTACTACACGGCACTACCTCTCATCATTAATCGATGATCCTTACAAATATGGATCATCAGTTAATCACTGGTTATTCACAGCCTACTCACTCAGAAATTCAAACACAGCAAACCAGACATATCAAGTCCACGTGAGCATTCTTCATATGTCCAGTCAAACATCTTAATAAACACTTTCCCTACCTTGGGCATAAAGAACTCCTGTACTAAGAAACCACTTTTACTACTGACAATGAATATTTTGAATGTAGAAGAGAACAGGTCATTGTTAAGTGCATTATATCTTGGAATTAAGGGAGGAAAAATAGCCACAATGAGTTTCCTGACTCCTGACTTATTATTAAAACATACAATTATCTCAGAAGAGCCTGGAGAACACAGGCCAACAGCTCCTGTGCACTACGTCTCTCAGTAACTTTCACCACTACAGTTTCATTTAACTTGCAAGCTGCCTCTAGTTGAAATGCAAATTATGACTGGAACATAGCTTAAAATATCTTCCCATATTTTCTTTAGTAAAATGAGTTCTTGTGGATTAAAAGAGGCACATTAAGACACTGAACAGGTAGAAAATAATGCAAACTACTATGCACAACCTCAGGGCACTGCAGTCTAGGAAACACTGGAGCAGTAACCTCCTGAGTGAATGAGACTGAGGGAAGTGGGCTTAGGAAAGTACACACAGGCAAACTTTGTTTTGATACACTGGAACATCAGCGATGCATCTCCAAACCCAAACCTAACAAGCCTACACTTGACTGCAAGAGTTCTTCCAAAGTGCTCAAAGCTTGATACTCGACACATTTGGAAAGGATAAAATGAGCTGTCTAATCCCCTACATTATGTTGTGTCTATTATCTTTTCCACTTTTTACACGGTTTGATGAAGAAAACAAAAACATTTGCCTAAAGAATGTATGGCCAGCTCAAGCCTCAGCATTTAATCTTTTTAAGGGTCATAATGACAAATAGGATTAAAAAAAAAAAAGTAAACAGACAAACAAACAAAAACTATCTTCTAATAGCATCCTAACAAGAGGCCAGCCTCTTCTTGAAAAGCATAGCTTAAAACAAGTCCCAATATGATGCTTCTTTTAAAACGTTCAAGCCTGGCATTATGAGATGGAATATTTCATAATCACATACACATTAAATTTATACATCAAATAGAGTTCCACTACAAAGAAGCAAAAGAAATGGACTTCACCGAGTCTATGACCAGATTCCAATTTATGACAAACACTAAATTGATTCTCTCAACACAAAGGCTCTCTTCAGTATTTTTACACTTGGTTCTGGTTGCCATGATACAATTCACATTTATTTTATGAGTCTATCTCCTACTATAATCTCTCACCTACAAGACCTTCACATTTCCATTACTCCTGACATTAAGGACTATATTATGAAACTTTTACATTTATTGAGTATTATTTTCCAAATTACCACATCAAAAACCTCAAAAATTTTCATATTTTAAAAGTCAAAAGAACAATCATTCCTCATACAATCACCCTTCATGGATGCATTGAAATTGCTTTTCTGAATAATGGCAATAAAGTATAAAAATTCTGTAATAGATCAGTGTCCTTACTCTGGAACGAAGGTCACAAAAACCAGACAGACGTTTTGGATATCTCCATTACTCACTTCTACCCCTTGATTGATTGTACTGGCTTACTAGGCAGAGCAAAACATGCAATGTATTTTCTGATTAATCTAACCAATCTATCTGCAGACTCTCATGCTAGAAAATCATTTCAAAATGTAAGCATTAATTTATTAATACTGGTACGTATTCATTCTAGTGTATGCTCTTTCCACTGGAACATTATACACATCTTTTCCAAATGTACTTTTCCAGTGGGAAAGTAATTATACAATCATAATACCAGTTCTGAGTGACAGGGCTGCAAATAACTAACATTTACACTTTATGGTCAATTCTATTAAGACATTATGGGCTTTTCTAGACTCCTTGTAATTTTAACCTATACCCAATATTGTTTAATTTTATTAGCAATTAAATACAGCTTCCCTTTTCATTCCAGTAAGCAGTACATTCTACCTCTCTCCTGTCAAATTGAGGAGGCCTTGAAACGTGCACCAATTATATTTCCTACTAACGACTGGGCACAACCACAGGTGAGAATAAAGGAAATGTGCTTTTTTTCTCCACTGATCATACGAGTTATTTCAATTAGTGCTCAAAAAAAAAATACCCAAAATTTAGTTAGAATTTAACCCTTTTGTAGTCATTTTAGTGTTCTATTCCTTTTTATCAAGCTAATAAATTATATCTAATGGCTTATAAAATCTGCCCTCCCATAGGAGTTAAAAATCATATTTAAAATTTAAGATAACTACAGTAATGTGAAATTCCAGCCTATATTTAAACATACTGATTTTAAAAGTAGAGTCTCACAAATCATTACAACTGTCTTAATCTTTTTTCGTGCCTCAATAGAACGATACAATAAATAAAACTTTTTGCTTAGTATATTGCTGCTTTGCCTTCCATACTGAGCACATAAGCAATCTATCAGTGAATTTTACAGCAGTTTCTCTAAGTAATTGCTACATTTCTTCAGATTCACTCTTCCCCTCTTTCTATAGCATAATGCTGTCTTCAACTTCAAATATGGTACACTAATCTAATTCTGATTTCTTGTTTCCTAAAGTATTTCTTTTATCCAAGAGTAAAACACTCATACTTCAGCAAAATGAATTATATCAAAGTTTTAAATTGATGATCTATACACCAATTGTAAAAGGTCTCCAGATTAAAAAAAATAAAAAGATTAATATAAGCAAACTCTTAAAATACAAATGCAGAACGAATTGCTTTGTGGCTAATACGAAGCAGATCTAAGCTCTATTACTCTGACTAAAGTAACTAAGGAAATTCAGCAATTTACACATGGTACTGCTTGAGTGTCATGCTCCAGTCCATTTATACAACTATAATCCAAACACACAAAAATCATGAAATGAAGACAGACCAAATGAAGAAGTAAATTACCCAGCACTTACTTAGTGTGGCTCCCTGTTTCTAACATTAATCTGCTTTTTCTCTATTAGGGAGAGATGCTG